AGTTATTCTCTGCTGCGTTTAATGTAAGTTCTAGTGGCCTTACATTTGCCGGCAAGACTTATTTCTTTATCTCGTAATCATGCTCTTTACTTATTCATGGGAACAGACCCAGTGGGGTGATTCATGAGTGCTTTCAACAGTTTTGGTGAAATCAAAATTAAATAAGTATCAGATGTTAAGAATAAGAATGTTTTTTAATATCTAAAGACACTGGGAAGCTTAGTTTTAATCAGAATAAGGTCCTTAGTAATGGTCTCTCTCTTTTGAAAAGCCTTCCACCTTTGAATCGCTACGGTTGTTAGGTGTCAGAGTAACCTTGTAGCTGTACGTTTAAGACATCAATTAGTATTTGAACACTTTCAGAAGAGGCTTGATCTTACTTGCAGTGCCCTGGGAGCAAAGTAGAGATTTAGGAGCTAATGTTTAGGCACTTGATTTGAAAATCTGGTCTATGTATTTAAGCCTACAGTGATGTTTTTTTCTTTTTTTTTTTTAAATTTTGCATCATAAAGTGAGGACATGAGACAAAAATTGTGCCATTCATTGGACTGTAAGGGCAGGTAGCAGTTTCTTGCTCTGCGTTTCACAGGGTAGCACTGAGAGAGAAGGGAGCTTGGTGCCTTGCTTCAGTTCCCTCTTTTTCTCTTCCTTTTTTTAAAGTACAAGCACGTAGCTCTATTAGAAAGGAGAGAAAGCGAGTGGGTGTTATAATAACATGTAGGCTTTGAGACAGGCAGTTCTGAAAGTTACTTAAACAAAACCATTGAGATCATTTTGTCAAGACACTGTCTAGTTCACCAGTGAATGTTACGGAAGAAAAAATCATATCGCTTATACCTTTCCTTTATTTGCTGCATGAGTTACTCTGCCAGATTGCTATCTACACCATCACCCTTGTGTTCTTTCGCGCTATTTCCTGTGCAAAGTGCAGCAGAGAAATTATAGGTGAACAAAGTCATGTTTAGAAACATCAGCTTTCTTGTCATGTTTTGAGTGCAGAACTCATACGGAAGCAGAAGAATTAGAGAGAGAGGCCTGATGGCAAAGCAGCACAAAGCCAACCAGGCAAAGCGTGAAAGAGATGCTCCCGTGTCCCTGTAATCTGAAAAGTGAGGCGCTGAGCACAATGGCATTGCTACCTCTCCTCTCGGGCTGGGTAACTTAATCCTATTTGATGTAATACAGCTTATGAAAAAGACACTTTTTAGATATCTGATTGAGGTGACAGCACTTCTCAACACCACCACTTCACCACCTGAGAAAAAGGGGAATTGCCGCTGAACAAAAGAAGGGCTTTGTCATTGCAGAGGGAGGTGAGCAGAGCATGTGGAGTGGGGGGGGAGGAAGAAAAGCAAATCAACTTCTTTTTTTTTTTCTTTCTTGTTTTCCACATGAGGATGTTTTTACTTTCTTTTTGTTCAGCATCAGCTTGTTGATGTGGGTGCACAGCCCTGGCCAAGTTATCATGCTCTTGAAAGTTTGTAGCTCTGAAAGGCAGAGGAGCGTTTAACGTTCTGGGACGGATGTTTTCTGCCAGTTTTGTTGTTGCCTCTGGAAATGTTGATGCAGTTGATCTTTGTGCAAGCATGTAGCTGTAGATTAACAAATGTGGAATGGAATATCTTCAGCATAAACTGGGAATGCAAAAAAGGAGACTTAAAAGGAATGAAAAGCTAAAAATAAGTGAAATGAACTTGTCACGGATTCCTTTTTCCTCAAATAGGCTAGAAATTTGGTTATTAGCAAACATGAGGTGAGTATTTCTGTTAATGATAAGGATTTCTAAATTATCAAGGAGCAAAGTAGAGCACAGGACATAAACCATTGTTAAGTCCTGTTAAAGCCATTGTCAAGAAAGTACGTTTTACAAGATTTTACAGGTGAGTACACTGAATCAAACAGGTGACTCCGTCTCTGGAATCACAAAAGATGTAGACTCAGAAATACAAATAAGAAACTAGTTCTCATGATGTTCGTAGACTGGAATTTTATTGGTATAGAAGCAGCACAATTAGTGATTGTGAAGACTTAAGAAGATGACTTACTTCTTTATGTAATGCAATGCATAACTTGCCTTTGTTTATTCTTTTTTTCTTTCCTTTTCAATTTCTTGAACAATTTTTACAGTTTGGCATGTGTTGAACAACATTTTTTAAAAGTAAAGCAGCACACAGATTATGGAAAATTCCAAACCTGTGTTCATAACGAGTTCATATTTTTAATTATTTGATTGGTAGATTAGAGATACGTTTTTACTTTCTTTCAGGCTTTCTTAAGCCACATTACACCTTTCAGCTGTATTGGGTTTCCAGTTCACTGGCATGGTGCAGGTCGAGTATGCTTATTCTTCTGCACTATATGATTGAAAGCCAGGAATAGTAGTTATTTAATATTCTGAGGCATCAGGAAGAAGCACATCATTTGATTGTTCAATTACTGCAGTATAAAACACCTTAGTCTTTTTGTGTACGTTTGTCTGCTTGGATGTTCACAATTCTTGGCACTCTTATCTTCCTAGCTATGTGTAATCTGCCCAGCTCTTCCCGTAGCGCTCCAGTACAAACACCGGCAGTATGATCGGTGTGGAGGCGTGATTGTGACAGGATAAAAGCTGCAGTGTGTGCATGAAAGGAACCAAATTACTTACGCTCAATTAGCGTGGCCATGCTTCTGAGAGATCACCAAACCATGGCTAAAAGCACTCTTTTATATAATTACCTTGTTATTTTCTTTCTGATTCGTGTAAAATTGGTTTTTGTTATTGAAGAAAAAACAGTTGCAGTGGACTATGAATTTTAAAGAAATCACCTTAATATTATTGATGATAGTTTATTAGTGTAAGCCACTTGTTTAATTGTGAAGCAACGGGAATTACAGAACATCGTGATGGAAGACAGCTCGGCTTTGAATATATTAAATTCAGTCTAACATGAATAGGTTTTGGTAATAAAGGAATAAATGCAAAGTTTGTTTAAAGGTTAAGTGAATGATTAATGCAGAAATTTCTTTCTAGATGCATAAGAGGAGCACAAAGTCCCCATAACTAGGTTCGGAGCCAGTAGTTTGTACAAGGGATTCGAATGTGTCTTTCATGGGACTGCAGAATGTGATAAAACAGTCTCTTACTCTTCACGGTTAAACTTCCTGTAGTAGGGTTGAGAAAGGAATAGTTCAGGTTCTGCAGAATTTCCACATTTGCAATACATTATGTGTGATGTGTAGTCTTTAATCTTTCAGTTTGCAAGAAAATCTCCTGAATATACATTCACCCTAAATGAAAATATGCATACATTAAGTTGGCATCAAGTTGGAAACAGGATTTTGAACTTCCAAGTATCTGGCGTTAGCGGACATCCCAGTTGGGTTGTGCTCTGGCATTCAGAAAACATCTTCTTGCCTTTCTTTTCCTACCAGTCACTTTGCATTCTCTTCTGCTAGACAGGCTTTAGCCATTGCCTGGGTTTCCTTTACATGGAGCAGGAATTTCACCCTGGCTTCATCAGCTCCAGTATCTCTTGTCAGATGCAGACCACGTGTTGGCTTTCCTCCCACCGCAGTGTACGACCCAGCTGGTGTTTCTGCAAGAGGATGGTCTTTGTGCCGCTCAAAGGGGGCCGTTGGGTTGATGGGTACTGGGAAGTCTGAGCTGTCTCCGCTTACCTCTTTGTGAAGTTGATTGTGAGAATGTTGTCCCTTTATGCATTGTCTTAAGGCTTTTTTTTTACCTAGAGGTGCAAATAAACCTCTGTTCCTGAGTAACTCTGTGCAGGTAAACATACTACTTGGAGTTACTCGATACTGCTTCCCAAAATGCGTATGCAGCTGAACATTTTCAGAGGCATCAGCCCTCTAGTCGCATCAGATTCTTCCTTTGCTTTGAATATTGGCAATCAGACGAGTATGGTTTTGGCTAACAGCCTAATGAATGAGTTGTAAAAGCTTAAGAAAATGGATTTAGATCCATTTAATAGTTGGTTTCCTCTGCAATACCAATGATGGTTGCTGAGGCAGTGGCTATGACTCAGTGGATGTTAGGAAAGAAGTTAAAAAAAAATAATTAACTAACAGATTAAATATCCCACTGTTGAGGTAAACGAAGGTGTGTAACATCAGGTATCTTTAAAAAAACCAAACTTGTAAGTATCAACACTGAAATTCAGTCTACATGCATTTTTTGTTATAGAGGAAATTGGACTCTACAAATGTAAGTACTTGCTACAAAATTATTCTGCTGAGTAATATTCCAGTTCATTTGCTCTTCACTACACCCCTGAAACTCTGCGTGCATACCTGCTTAAAATCAGCAACAAGTGTAGCTAGTAATGAAATAATTAAAATTTAGTTTATTTTGTTTCATAATGCACAAATAGAAAATCATTTAAGTATGACTGATTTTATTCATCCACAGTAGTTGCTCATCTGAAATGCTATTGAAGTTCAGTAATTGAAGCTCTGAAATACAGTATTTGACAGATGGTGTGGGTGGCTGTGCCATTTCCATGATAAATCTACTTACAAATATAACCATGAGGAAGTTGTCTTCATTCCTTGACTGCTGCAACATATAGATGGAAAAAGTGACAAACATGACATGAAAACAGATTTGTGTCTTGGTTCTTCATTTTCCTGCTATAATGATTTGAATTTTTAAACAAGTGCAAGAGAGAGGTTTCTTTTTACTTTGTCTGAAAAGGAGTTGCTATAAAGGCCAAAATATTCTTTCAGTAGCTTTTCTTTGCTTACATTTCCTTTGAAGCTTTTCCTATAGCGAATGTCTTACAGCGTCGGTTAGAAAGCATTGCTCTTTTTAAATGAAAACTAAGTAGATCTTTGCTAAGATACATTTACTGTTAAAAAAAATATCGGAGGCTGGAGAAATGGACAGTCCTGTTGCCCCAGGGCTTACTGTTGAAACTTAGAGATAATAAAATGGCATAAATAAAAATATACTGCATTATCCAGTTTTAATATTCTTTTTTATTCTCTTTGTGTTTTAACAGAAATCACCGATGCTGGTACTAGAGGAACCCAAGATACAATTAAGGGTGTGAAAAGAAAAAAGATTGTGACTGAAAACCATCTAAAAAAAATACCAAAATCGCCTTTGAGAAGCCCCGCCGAAGCCAAGGTTAAGCAAAATGTGGACCCTTCACCGCTAAAAGCTCTTTCGGATGCCTCCGAACACGCCACGGCACAGGATCACCTACCCGTGCAAAATGGAAATCAATGTACCAAACAAAATGGGGGAGCACTTAGTAGTGAGATAAGTGTTGAAACAACCAAGTCTGAGACATCGATGCAGACAAAGCTGTCACTGGCGCATCAATCCTTAGATTTGGGTAAACAGGCAGTGGAGGATACCGATGCAAACCAACTGAACTCCCCAGAGAAGAAGTCTCTCTCAAACTCCTCAAGTAAAACAAAGACTGACAGTAATGAATGTATTAATTTTGTTGATTGCGGTACATCATCCCCGTGTACACGTACTGCATTCGATGTCTTACTAAAAGCTATGGAGCCTGAACTGAACACCTTAGCACAAGAGTGCCCCCCTTATGGGATGCAGATAGAGAAACTGAGACCAAATAAAACTGTAAGCACCTCTTCTAGTCTCACATCCAATACAATGAGCGTCCAAAATCAACCTGCTTTGTCACAGCACGAGTTTGCAGCTGGACCTCACTATTACCCCTGTACGTTAAACAATGTGCATGTAGCAGTAACAGCCAAGACTGGACAAGCACAAGGCCAATCAGTTTCTCATTCACAAGACCTTATTGCTAAAACCAGTCAACAGAATCACCAGGTTGTTATGTGTCCAAGTTTCACCAGATCGCTGGTGCAACAGCAGAGTCAGGAAAACCCCAAACTCCAACAGATATACAGCATAGCAGTAACTTCATCTGTCGTTCACACTTCCTCTTCCACTGTAACTCAGGTTTTTCCTCAAAACCAGTTAGTAGCAAGTTCATCATCACCTTTGACAATTAGCACATCGGGTTCAACACACTTGTCTATAGGTCCCATGTATAATTCAGCCCAGATAGCATCAGCTGTAAACCATGGAGTAGAACAAATATGTAACCTCTTGAAAGACCAGAAGCCTAAGAAGCTAGGGAAGTACGTCTGTGAGTACTGCAATCGGGCCTGTGCCAAGCCCAGTGTTCTCCAAAAGCACATCCGATCCCATACTGGAGAACGACCGTATCCTTGTGTGACGTGTGGGTTTTCATTTAAAACCAAAAGCAATCTGTACAAGCACAAAAAATCTCATGCGCATGCTATCAAGCTTGGACTTGTGCTACAACCAGATTCGGGTGGCCTCTTCTTATCTCATGACTCGGACAAAGCACTTAGCATTCATTCGGATGTGGAAGAAAGCGGCGAAAGTGAAGATGAAGGCACCGCTGATGAAAGACAAGATGATCAAGAACTGGAACCCGCACAGATAGTGAAAGTCATTTCAGCTGCAGAAACGTTGCAGAAAGGAAGCCCTATTCCATTAAGCAACCCAGACTGTATACCAGGTGACTCTTCATTACATGATACAGAACCTCAAGTAAGGGCAGCTTTACCAAAAGTAGTAGTTCATCCTGTAAATGTTTCTCCATTAAGGGCCGATAGCCCAAAAGTAACAGAACCAGCACCTGAGCTTGCTGCAGCACAGAGAAAAGGAGATTTTAAAGTGACAACTCTTCAGTCAAACTTGACACATACCGCCTCATTCAAGGAGAATGACATAAAGCAGCATCAGAAAGCAGAAATGGCCCTATTAGAGGAACAGCTGGGATCTGCAGTAGGAGTGATGCACGCTCAGCTCCAGAGACAACAGGCCACCGATGGCTCCCAAGACCAGCAAGGAAAATGTCTTTTGAGCCCTAGAAGTTTAGGTAGTACCGATTCTGGTTATTTCTCTCGTTCTGAAAGTGCCGATCAAACAATGAGCCCACCAGCTCCTTTTGTACGAGGATTGTTGACCTCTGAGAAAGATCCAAATAAAAACCTGCCCTGCCTGCCACGAGCAAGTGGCGTGGTAGCGTCAGTGGTACAAACTGTTTGTGCTGACAAAAATCTGACTCTCTCTGGCCAAATGCGACCTCCCATGGCAACAAAAACTCTTGAGGAACGTATCTCAAAGTTAATTTCTGATAACGAAGCTGTTGTGGATGACAAACAGTTAGATAGTGTGAAACCAAGAAGAACATCTCTTTCAAGAAGAGGAAGCATAGATTCGCCAAAATCTTACATATTTAAGGATTCTTTCCAGTTTGATTTAAAGCCCATGGGAAGAAGAACTAGCTCAAGCTCTGATATACCAAAGTCTCCTTTCACGCCCACTGAGAAATCAAAGCAAGTTTTTCTTCTTTCTGTACCATCTCTTGACTGTTTACCTATAACACGAAGTAATTCCATGCCTACTACCAGTTACTCAGCAGTACCTCCAAATGTAATACCTCCCTCTCATCCCCTTCGAGGAAGTCAGTCATTTGATGATAAAATTGGCTCTTTATATGATGACGTTTTTGTATCAGGACCTGCTACTCCACTGAACCAAGGCGGACATCCTCGGACCCTTGTTAGACAGGCAGCAATAGAAGATTCTTCTACTGGTGAAAGCCAAGTTCTTGGACCAGTGCGACCTGTAGAAGAAAGTTATCTGGGGTGTAATTTATCAAATGAATCCTTATTGCAAAGGAGCAAGTCTCTGGCACAGGGATCAAATTTAGAAAAAACAAAGAAGTCCCCTCAGGTGCGAGGAACAATGTTTGAGTGTGAAACCTGCAGAAACAGATATAGGAAACTGGAAAATTTTGAAAACCACAAGAAATTTTATTGTTCAGAGTTGCATGGACCTAAAACTAAAGCCGCAATCCGAGAGCCTGAGCATAAAACTGTTCCAAATAGTACACAGCCTCAAATTCTACATTACAGAGTCACTACTTCAACTGGTGTCTGGGAGCAGACACCCCAGATAAGGAAAAGAAGGAAAATGAAAAGTGTTGGCGATGACGATGACCCACAGCAAAATGATACGAGCATTCCATCAAAGAACGCCGAAGGCCAAAGCAAGCCAGCAAATTCTTCTGGTCTGTCAAAACACAGTGCGACAACAGTGGTAGGATCACAGCAGGCAAGCAACCTTCTACTTCAAAGTTCCCAAATTCAGCTTGTGGCTCGAGGCACCGATCGGAGTACCGAGCCAAAGATGGCTCCACTCATTGAAAAGCAGGCAAGTTCAGCTGTGCAAGAAAAGGTGGAGTTGAAAAGACAAGGGACTGGCATTTCAGTAATACAGCACACCAATTCACTGAGTAGAAATAGCTCATTTGAGAAATCAGAGTCATTCGAAAGAGTATCACCAGTTTCTTCTCAAGAGCCCAACAAGGTTGCGAAGCACCGCTCTTTGAATACGGTTGTCATCCAAGAGGATAGACACTCTCATCTGAATACTCCCCAGCATCATCAACCCCTGTCATCAGAAGCACCTAGAGGGGAAGTTCAGGGAAGCCAAATAGTTTCTAATGAGAGAAGCGCACCGCTTCAGCCGTCAAGACTTGTGCGCCAGCATAACATCCAGGTTCCTGAAATACTGGTCACAGAAGAACCAGATAGGGACCAGGAAAACCAATGCAGCGATCAGGAAAAGACAGAAAGGTTTAATTGGCCACAGCGCAGCGAAACGCTGTCAAAATTGCCAACAGAAAAGCTTCCACCAAAGAAGAAAAGAATTCGCTTGGCTGAAATGGAGCATTCATCTGCCGAATCGAGTGTTGACTCCACGCTTTCCAGAAGCCTAAGTCGGGAGAGTAGCTTGTCGCATGCCTCCAGTTTCTCAGCTTCACTCGATAAAGATGAAGCTTTGAAGGCTGAGAACTCTTCCAAAGCAGAACCCGGTACTAAGTTGTCAGAGTTTCTCATGATTCCCCCTGGCTCACACGCACTGGCTGTGCCTGGCCCTCATTACCGGGAAATGAGACGTGCAGCCTCAGAGCAAATCAGCTGCACGCAGCCGTCAATGGAGGTTGTGGACTACAGGAGTAAGTCTTTTGACTGTGGAAGCATGTCTCCGTCAAAACCCGCCCCACTCATAGAGAGAGCCACTCCGAAAGTGTCGTCTGCAAATGGAGTGACTGGACACGTGCCTCTGTTAGAAAGGAGGAGGGGGCCATTTGTAAGACAAATATCTTTAAATATTGCTCCAGAAAATCATCAGCCTCAAGTTAAATCCACTTCTTCCATTCAGACAGCTCATGCTACGGATGTGCCCACGGTGCCATTGCACAGGCTGCAAACCTCTGGCAAATCTTCAGTGGAGTTTCCTTCAAGTACTCAGCATTCACAGACTCACTCCAGGCCTCACTTGACAATTCAAAATTGTAATCCTGTCAGCCTGTCTTCGGTTCCGCAACCTCTAGATCATGTGTTGAATAATCAAGGACAGCCATCCTCAACTCATCAGCCTTCCCAGACATCCACTAAAACATCAGCCCAAGGGGAACAAGTGAGCACATACCTGCTTTCTTGTCATCCCGATGAAAAAAAGGATTGTTTTGCTCCAAAGTATCAGCTTGAAGTTAAAACGTTACATATAGGTCAGCCATACTCTTCTAAATTGCTACAAAATACTTTATCAACTCAGACTGTTCCAGGTCAAGTTGGGGTGGACCAGAAAGCATCCTCCTTTGAATTGCAGACTAAACTGCCTGACATGTCTAATCCATACTCTGTGCCTCCTCTAAAGCAAATTGTCCCTAGTAACTGCAGCAGTCAAATACATCAGATTCCTCCTTTCGTGGTTCCCGTCCGTATTCACAGCAGTATGCCATCCTATGGCTTTGCAACTGTTACACCCCTTCCTCACATTTTAGTGACCCAGGATCAGGTAAATCAATCTGTTTGCAAAACAAATGTTGCGACAGTGCCAACGCTTGAGGGCAAAACTCAGCTGCCAAAATCTCACAAAGATCATCAGAGGACTTTGCCAAATTCATTTGAATTTGAAAATTCTCAACCAGAAAGCGGAACCAGAAATTCACCTTTGTCAAGCTCTTTGAATATTATTCAGAAAGTGCCAGTTAGCGGACTCTTCCCTCAACCAGAAGCTACAGCTTCAAGTAAACGAATGCTTTCCCCAGCCAACAGTTTAGATATTGCCATGGAAAAACAGCAAAAACGTGTTAAAGATGAGAGTGGAGCTGCCTGCATGACAGATGCTAGACCGTTGCATTCACTGAACGTTAGATCTAATGACCCTACCAGTAAGCAGAAGAAACCAGTTTTGGTAAGACAGGTTTGCACCACAGAGCCTCTTGAAAATCACCTCTTAGATCCTGATGGGGTTGCACAGCATGAAAAAAGCAGCAAAGCTAGTCCTTCAGACCTGCTGTTGCCTAACCGTCATTCCTCTGACACTGGGGTTTCAGAAGCCCTGAAGGAGTCACCAGAATCTGAAGACCTTAAGTCTTCAGCATCGCCGGTGTTTGTAGTTAGAAAACCATCTGAATTGTCTCCGGTGAATAATCAGAGTTCTCTTCTCAAGGCTGTAAGTAGCAGTCAAGACAGAAAGTCCCCAAGTAACAGCAGTGAGAGCAAGCACATCGATAGCCAGGGCCAAGCGAAGCCTGTAGCCACACCGGCTGCCATGAATACAGGAGAAATGCAGAGGTTGTCGTTTCCGAGCCTCAAGACCACAACGAGTTTTACCTGGTGTTATCTCCTGAAGAGAAAACCATTGCATCTGCTGCAAAACGATCAGAAAATCTCCGCCTATTCTACGTGGACCATTAATCCCAACAATCCCAATCCACTTGGTTTGTCGACAAAGGTAGCTCTCTCCCTCCTCAATTCAAAACAAAAAGTTGAAAAACCGCTGTACACTCAAGCAAGAACTACTCATCCCAGATCTGATGTATTGGTCTATTCAAGCAAGTGGAAGAACAACTTAACCAAGGTACTTAAGCTGTGCTTGATGTATACTCATCGTTTACAGAGGATTTGCGTTGGAAATTGTGCTTGTTCGTATTTTAGAGGATGTAATGTATTTGTTTTAGTTATGCTGGATCAAACTGCTAAAAAGATCTTAAGTAATTCCATTAAGAAACCTGTTTATAAGGATTTATCACTTTTCATGGAAATTAGTTCCTGGATTTAAATCTGTATATGAAGTGTTTATCGTGGCAGGAATGTGTTTGGCTATTTTTTAAGTGCAAATGGTAGAACAAACATCGTTCTGATATAAATATTTTTTAAAACACTTTTAACTTAAAACAGGTTAATTTAAGATCATAATTGCATATTTTGCCTTAAAAATCAGCTGGTATTTTCTGTTATAAAAGAGTGCTTGGCCTGAACAGGTGTCCATGGATACGCTGCAAAAATATTTTTCACCGTCGCTGATCATCTAACTGTGAGAGGAGCAGTGTACCGTTTCCCTTTCTCCCACCTAGGTTAATCAGTGGTGTGAAATAATGACAAAAATAGCAAAGTTTAAAACAAAATTACGTCTGCCATAAAACCACTGACAACTTCTTGGATCGGTACGGCTCCAAAGATGACGTTAAATCTTGCGCAGTGGAATATACTCTGGGCAATGCTTGTGACCCGTATAAAACACTGTGTCATTCTGGAGGCAGATGTGGCAGAGCAAAGTGGTCACTTGTTATTTCCTTAGCTGTCTTGGGGCTGCACATGCGTAATCAGCATTTCATTTACTGGACAGTTTTGTTATGGACAGGACCAAAACCATCTGCTGGTTTGCACTGGATTTGGTATTCCTTAGTAATGGAATTGCCTCTGTGAATGGGTAAAGGTGGCTCTCTGCCCTATACTATGGCAACAGGTGGCTGTGTGTATTTATTGCACCTAGTACTAGTTCTTATCATCCCGTCTAGTGAAGCCATAAAGCTTTTTAAAGAGAGCTGTGGTGTACAGCACAGTTTCATGCTCTTCTTTCCTCTCTGCTCTGTACGTTGTGTGTGTGATGCCGAACTTCTCTGGAGCTGGCAAAAACAGGCCTTTAGCCGTGGACCTCCCTTTCTCTAGAGTCCTTCAGGACATAGAAGTCTTTTTTTGGGAGGTAAAAGCAATCATAACTTGTCCTAATCCTGCAGGCCGCCATCAGCAAAACTTGCTGGGTGGGCATCGGGTGTGGGAATTGGTGTCCGTAGGGCTGGCAGTCGCTCTGGAGGAGACGTACCACCACAGCCTTGGGAAAAAAACATGTATTTCTGTGGATGGACGTTGAGTGACAGAGGCTGTTGCTGTCGGAGGTCACCCTGGGTTGTTTCTGTGTTTGCTAAATGTTTTGCTGAGATACAAAGTCGTCAGCAGGGAAAAGAGCAGTGGGATGAGAACCTCTGTGTAAGAGGAAAAAATAGTTTCAGAATTGCAGGGGGAGTCAAGAAGAGCATTAGATTTAAACTTGGTCCTCCTGAAATCAGTGGGAGACTTTGCTAACATTTATATTGGAGTTCAAAGCTTTATCCATAATGTTTCGTGCAGAAAATACACACAGGCTGTTGGCTTTGTGTTAGTGCTGTATCTGAATTGAATCATTGCTTCCACATTAGTGTGACGCCTTTGTTTACACTCATACTACCTTTTTCAGCCTGCTCCCCACTTTATGAGAAGTTGTACTTAAATAGTGCTAAATTAAAAAAAAAAAAAAAAATTTGAAAATTTAGCTTTTTTCGTTGTAATAGTCAAGCTATTCTTTCTAAGGCAAGTCTCACATCACTTGTGTCGTTGACTCATGTTTGGTTTATTTTTAAAGAACACTATATCAGAAGAAATTCTCTGATAACAAAGCTACTGCGTGCCTCTTGGAGAACAAATTTTGTCTACAAACAGATCCTGTTTAGAAAAGAAATAATGGATAATAATATTTTTAAAATATTTTGACAGCACCCTTTTAAACACTCTAGGAATACTTAAATGCTGTAATAGGCAGCTGTCAGGTACATTTACAGTGCTTCTGCCACAAAAGAACCACAGTTACTAATCTTTCTCCAGTCTTTCTTGCTGATGTTTTGAATGAAGCACACGAGCACGGTAAAAATGAAGAGTTCTTAAGCTCTGCTTGCGGCTGATTTACAGAGCCATTATGAAGGAAGAAAGTGCAGCAAGAGAACACCAATTAAAGTTTAATTGGCATCTCAGATTGTACAAACAAGGTATAGGATGGCAGAAATTAGAAATTTCAAAGACCTGATAGGTGCTATGACCTAACACCTCCAGAGTTTGTCTGCTTTCCCTTCTAATGACTCAGGCAGTGGCATTTCAGCTCCTTTACAGGATGATGATGATGCTGTTAGAATATGCCTCTGTATTACCAGTCTCCAGTTAGACCTGGTAATGGAATAGCCAATGCCAACTTGGAAACTTCCTCACAGAAGCCATATTTAAAGAAAGCAAAAACTGAAATTCCTCATTCGGTTCATGCACAGTAATTCTCCTACTGTTTTTTTTCTGGTTGAGACTGAGGATGGAGAATGTTGGAGGTCCTTTTAGAAATTAATACTCTATTTTAAAAAAACACCCCAACACAACCAAACAAAGCCAACAAACAGATTAGCAAATAATTCTCAAAGAAATGTGATTGATTTCCTGCTTAAAAGCTTGGCGGGGTCTTGAGTTCCCTAGGGAGCTACAGTTTAGACTGCAAGTCTCTGGAGGTTGTGACTGTCGTTCAGAAGATATTTGCTCAAGTGGTTTGCACGTTTTAACCCTTACCTGACGGAGAGCTTTAAGTGCTACTGTAATCCAGTTTATAAATAATAATGCTGTTTACGCCTCGCCTCCTCTCTCGCAATCGTAGCCCTTTCCAAAGGGATTTGGCATATTCTGCTCATGGGGCTTTAGCTGCTGATCTTCTCGCCGAGATAAAGCCGCTTCCTGAACTGTTCCTGGGTTTCCCCCAGAACTAAGTCCTGTTTACAGAGGCCTCATGCTGCTGCAGAACCGCTACTAATCACTGTCACAAAAAAGGCAATTCTTTCAACAATAGACGCCAGGGGAAATGAAGAGACATGTGAACGAAATGGAAACAATAAGGAACCAGGGGACTTTGTTTGCTCTTCACAATTCGCTGCTCAGAGGCAATAGGTGAAGTTGCCACGTTCCAGTGATTCAGAGAACAAACCACGAAAATGTTATTGTGAAAGACGCTCCTGGAATGAGTACAGCACTTTAAAATGTAACAAGAGGTTTACCTGCATGGAAAAGGCTTATTTTATCTCTCTGCTCTTTTTGGTTTATTTGTTTAAATTTTTTTTGCCAGTTTTCCTCACTTGAATTCATTGGTGGTGTATCAGGAGCCCTTTCTCAAGCCCCTGCATTGATCTTGGCTCCCGTCTCAGAAGCGAATCAGTAATGTGTGCAGTATTCCAGGGTGAAGATTTTCAGGCAAGAATAAGGCTGAAGAATGGAAAGTTTCTCCTGACTGGAAAGCTTTCCTTTCTTGGATGATGTGCCACAACAGTCCAGCCCACTACTGGAAAGTAGTTAAATGCAGAAGATTTTTATGTGTAAACTAGTAAAAGTTTAAAGATATTAAAAACATTTTCCTCAAGTGGCTATGTGCCAATGGGAAAAAATGTTTAATGAATATTATAATCTGAAATTTATAACTTTGATGATTCAGGCTGCAAGCATGTTTTTTTTCCAAGGGATGTTGTAAAGTACCAGAAGTATCTATTGAACTCTGGTCTCTGGGCAGCCCTAAGAGCAGTTTTTTTCCAGTTTTATACCAGTAATTGAAGACAGTGGAGTTAAATTGGAACAAAATGAGAAAAGTAGAAATGAATCATGGTCCTTGTCTCCACGGGAGAAGAGAGAGAAGTCTGTGTTGGAAACGGAAGACATAAGTAGTCATGGAGAGGAACATTATACAGCACTGCCGGTTTTCTGCCCTTTCCACCAATACGTGCGGGGTTTTGGGGGGGTTTTAGGTGAGGTGCATTAAAAGATTCCCACACAAGAAACCCGTGCTTCTCAGAGACTGGCTGCTCTTAAAAATTGACAGAGGACCCAGGTCTTCTTCAGCATCAATTTGGAATTTTCCATAAAAACTAAAAAGGATACTTTTTTTCATAATCAGTGAGCATTTCTGTAGATTCTTGTGACAGAAACTTGGTCTTCCTATTAGAGCATCTCTGTGATAACAGCATTTTGCATGTTTAAGACACTAAAACAGCTGCTAAAATAGCATATAACCAGTAAATTAAAGTACATCAGTGGGAGGTAGCTAGTAGTTTGACCACCTATGTTAGACTATCTTATCTCTGTATGTAAACATTTGTGTTAAAAAAAGGGAGGTGGGTGGAATCCAGAGGTATTTGGTGTTGTGTTAGTTTATGCTTTTGTGGATATACAATATAACACTGTTTCACTGTAGTTTGGATAACAATGTGGGCCAAATGTTTCTAGGATCTTTTTCCTTTGTCTTTTCATTCTTGAAAATTAAATCTGGAAAGAATACTTAGTATTTAGGATTGAAAGATCAGGCACTTAAAGATTGCATTATTCTGGGAATATTTATGTGGTATTTGGCTTATTGTATGTATTCTGTATTTTCCACTGCTCTTTTCTTCTTAAATTGTAAATGTCACCTTGTTACTCTCTGTTTGCAGTGGAAACAAAAGCAATTCGTGTGCCAGGTAGTGTATAGGAATTACAACATGGCTGAGTTGCAATTACTAGAGTAGGCTCAGCTTCTGATATTTCTCATCCAGAACGTCTTCTCCTTTCACCTTGTGTGAATGCTGTTAAAACATGCAGGGTGAAATTTCTTTCCTCCTACACACAGGCAGAGCTGTCATGTATGCTTTGGTAGAACTGCTCAGATATTTGAAAATCCAGCTCAAATCAATCAGAGGGTGCACAGAAGCGTATAGGGATTGGAGTAGTACTTGCAGCCTGCGTGGATTCCTAGGGGTTTGAAGCGAATAGGAAGATGCTTTTCCTCAGATCTGTGTTAACTGCTCATCAGCCACATTCCTCATCAGGTGGGAAGTAAAGACTATGTCTGAGACTATAGGCAAGGACTGGATGCCAGAATGATGTCACCCTTCAACGTATGCAATGACCAGTGCAATTCATCAGTCATTTTAAGTCAGCCAGTGAAGTCATTCTTCTTGCCAAGAATTCGCAAGCTTACAGCATTGAATTTTATAATGAGTAGAAAACATAAGGCCAGACTTTTTTTCTCTCATCATTTTATTCACTTATCAATATGAGCAAATGCATTAAGTGTGCCAGCTACGTGGGTAGAACAGTTTATAAATACAGCAGTAATAATTGCTGGCTAATTGGATCATTCCTTCATTGTTGCCCATTTTATAAATATCCTAGACTTGGAAGGAGTAGATTTTAATTGGCAAATGTTGGAGGAACTTGTCCTCCTTTAAAAAAAAAAAAAAAAAGTTCCTTAATTAATAATCAAGGGAAATGGAGAAACATATTTTTGTTCTGCTAGATAGCTGGTACGCTTTTTCTTGTAATTTGGTCTGGCAGTGGGAATTAACTGTGGAGTCCTACTTTGGAAGGGTTCTGGAGCCCCTGTTAATAACCTCACCAAAGTGGGAGCAGTCAATTTTCACACTGAAACAGGTCTGGTTTTTGAAGACTATTAACAATCAGAAATGTTACCGGTTCGCATCCTCCTTCCCCCTGCCCTGCCGCGGTAGACACTGGGCAGCTAGAGCTGGGGATGCGCTACTGAAACTTGAACTTCGGGGGAAAATCACAAGTAACTAGTTGTGCAGTACAGCTTCCCCCCTTTTTGTCAAATTGTGGGGGGCAGTGTAGCATGCAGCTGCAGAGCCCCATCCGTACAGTCCAGATGTCGCGTCGACGGCAGAGGAGTGAAGCAAATGAGTTTGACTGTAAGCAACTTCTCTGTCGAAGGCTACCTGTGAGCCAAGGCAAGTCACCTTCGCCTTCCCTGAAGAAGGAAGAGGCATCTCCTACTGTAGATTCAGAGCACTCCTGGTTTCTTACAGTGCCATAATCTACTTAAAGATTTGCCAGTCCGCACATAGTCAATGTGTAGTGGAGAAGTTGTTTAGCGAAAGATATTTCATTTCATGTACCTTAACACTTTTTTTTTAAAATCAGTTATAATTGTGGCTTTTATGATGCTTTTATTCATCGTAACTTACAGGTTTGAATGGCATGTGAAAGATACTAATTTTAATGATATGCGTATCTCATTTTCTTTCAGCGAGCATTAAATAGAAAAAAATTGACTGCAACTGAATTCAGCAATAAGGAAAGCTCTGAGTCAAGCACTGAGCACGATAAAGAAAACTCCTTTATCAAAACAGAACCAAGAAGAGTTAAAATATTTGATGGAGGGCAAGTATTGTACTTTCGTATACTAGATATCGTCGGGAAGATATTTTTTCCTTGATTCTAGACTTTGCAGAGATGTTGCTTCCTGTTTGATTTATTTTAAACAACAGTTCCCGTACTGTGGTCTGTAGATGTTGGTTTATGTTTCCAAGAAAAATGGAAAGTCATCAGAAGCATGGAGCCATGAGAGTTACGAGGAGGGGTAATGAAATAAAGAACAGTAGGCAATGCAAGTCTTTTTTTTTTTTCCTAAAGGATGAACATTAATCAGTAGTAAAGGCAGCTAGATACAGCCATAGATGTAAATTCTTTTTCTGTACTTCTCTTACGTGATAAATAATACCTATTCTGCAGTAGGGTTGTGTAACTGTAGCTGGAGACGATATAGTCCAGGGGCTAAGCAGCAGACTGCGGTACAGTCTCTGCCTGGCAGTTTGCTGTGGCGTACACAGGCTGGAGAACTCCTGATTTGAAAAATGCCGTGGAAATATTTACTGAAGGTCATCATCCATTCACTGTAATACTTCACATTGGTTGCTTGATATGAATAACAGTTGCTTTAGCCACAGCGTTGTGCCATGTACAAGATCTTATAAGACAGATTTTTTTTTAAGTAGAAAAGTGCCAGTGACACTTCTGAAAATGTTGAGCATGAATGGTGCATATTTTATTATTCTCATAATTGGTGGCGGGCTCTAGGGCTTTCCATGTGTTGGTTCCCGGGCTGAATCCAGTCTAGGCCAGCAGTTAAGCCATTACCAGCTGCCCAGGTAAAACATTGCTACGTGTCTCTGCTAAGATGCAGACGTTGCAGGGACCAGGTCACAAAAGCTAAGCACAACCTTTGGCATCCTTGAGCAGAGATACAAAGGATGTAATTGAGTGACTTTTTCCATCTAGAGATAGTCCCAGTAGGCTGAGTCCAGAGCACATTGATAGGGAATTTTAGACTTTCCCACTGTCGTAACTAACATTGTCCCTTTTCTGCACGCAACGCCGGGTGTCAGAGAGGCTCTTTTAAAGCTTCCTCACGGTCCCCGAACCCGATTCCAAGAACTGACACTTCTAAAAAGTATGTTCCTGTGTTGTGAAGAGGAAATTTGAAATCTTGAAATGCCTAGTATCAAATGGTACCTTTGTTAAAAAAGATAATGTCGTTACTCCTAAACAAGTCTGTGATTACCTAGTGAAAAATCTGGATCTGAGTTGAACAAATAAATGCCTGAGCAGAAAAAGAGCATGACTGGTTTTGTCAGTCATTCCTTTTCATATATCATTTTTTAAATTCTGGCAGATTATGGTTTCTGACTTCAATCATTTTTCCATCACAACTAATTGCCTTACTCTCATGGTACTGTTACTAGGTACAAGTCAAATGAAGACTACGTGTATGTTCGGGGGAGAGGGAGAGGGAAGTATATCTGTGAAGAATGTGGAATACGTTGCAAGAAACCCAGCATGCTGAAGAAGCACATTCGCACACATACCGATGTCCGTCCTTACCATTGCAATTACTGCAACTTTTCCTTCAAAACTAAAGGTAGGGGCACTTTTCAGTGTACGTTTCTCCCCTTTTTTCTTTCTACTTGAAAATATAATTATTTTCTTCTCACATTTGGCTGTTCATAAGCTAAAGAAGTTGCGTCTCTGTGGAGTTTTATTGTCTAATGCTTCAAATATTTGTAGTTTCCGATTTCCTTCTTTTGTCTTCTGTATGTTTATTCAGATAATCACATCTTTACGTGAAGGAATTGTGTGGCATGCCACGGTAGGTTGGGATGGGAACACAGAATTTTAAGTTGCTAGCAGTGATCTTTTGGAGGTATGACATTGACATATATTGTAGTCCTATTGGCACTCAACTAATTGCCCTGGGAAAGAAATTGGCCTTTATTAAATTACTATATTAAAACATTTTTTATACCCTTGAAGGATGAGGTTCACTTTCCACTTGACCTTCTAAGAGCCAAAGATGGACCCCTACTTTTTAAAGCCTGTTTACTCCAGATACTTAAATGCATCCTGTTTGCAGCAGGCGGTATATTAAACAGTGGTAAATCCAGAACTCAAAATAAGTGAAACAGACAGGAGAAGTTCACAGCCAAAATACTTTTAAGCAAAAAACCTCTAAGCCGTAACATTTTTCTTGGCTTTAAACATCATTTAGCAATAATCCCCACCCCAGCTGTAACCTCAGAAACATTTGTGTTTTTAGTGGGTTCGAGACTACTCAGTGGTTGGGTGGAAAACTTCCAAGAAATAACCCAGTGCTGCAGAAAGTGGGATGGATAGTCTTTAGATGTGTCAAAACTTATCGCTGCATCCTGACACACTGGATCATCATGTTGGCTTTAAGATGAAATGCCGGAGTGTGAACCCAATAAATTCTGATTATGGTTTTTGCAGAGTAAGCGTGCTGGCCAAGTTCAAGTTAATTAAGTTCTGCCCATTTGAAATTCTTCCTGGTTTCAGTTGTAGCAGATACTTGCATTCGCTTCCGTTTCTGCAGTTGCTACGCCTGGCTGTTGCCATTACTGCTGGCAGAGTCAGTCACGCAGTTGGGTGCTTGATGGTTGGTAAATCACCCTTCATGAAAGGAAATCCGTGCAGTATGTAAAGCTGGGAAGTTTGCTCTTTGTGAGTCAATATAGTCATAGAGCTTCGTAACAGTTATTGCAACGTTTGAGGTGAATTCCTAGCTTTGTTTCGAAGCAGGAATAAAGTACTCCATAAGCATAAAAGAGTCACCATTTCACCCACTTTAGTTTCTCCCATTGAAATACCTCAAAGAAACAGTTTTCGAGAGACACTAGGGAAGTGTAAGTATAAAGTAAGCAGTTACTTGTCGTAGTATACATTTCACAGATACCATAATTTACAGATCTCTGATCTACCCGTAACGTTTTCTTGATAATATTTGCCATATTTTCTTTTCAGAGGAAGAAGGGAGAACACCCTGTGGGGCCTCTCAGCAGTTATGCATTCACTTTTGAGATTCAGATCAACTATGTTCATGCTCTGATTTTGAATAAAATTAATCTGTTTGTTTAGGTTGGCAGTGAAAATGATTACACTAAAAATAGAATCCATCAAATACTAAAAGAGCTGCAAGACACGAACTTTAGTTTCACACGGTAGTTTTCTGTCAACATGACTTTGAAGACTGAATCAGCCTTTTTTATACTTCACCATAAACAAATAAGGGGTCTTTTGCACCAATGCAAAATATGTCATCATCTAGGATTTCCATCCTATTCTGTTTTATCTCAATAAAGAACTTTATGAAAGGTAGCCAGAGAGCTAGTAGCATTCAGGATGGTGAATCTGCTGCAGCCCTTGACAGCTTGCATTGAGGGGCAAGGATCGATCAAGTGTGAAATCAGATTATACAGGTGGTTATAAATGTAGCTGAATAAGATAGAGACATATTGAGTGTATATTTGAATACATTTGTGTAGTCACAGAGCAGTTAATGTTTTTCATTTTTTCTTAAGGAAATTTAACAAAACATATGAAGTCAAAGGCACATAGCAAGAAATGCATGGACTTGGGGGTCTCAGTAGGCTTAATAGATGACCAGGATGGAGAAGAAGAATTTGGTAAGAAATTAAAATCTTCTTTCTTTGCTGCATTTTTGTATTTAGTTTGTCATCTCAATTTCTTCCCCTTTCTTTTTCGAAGCTTTTAAATTCTTATACAGGGAATAGATACAGAGATAAATATCTTAGAAGCTAGTCCAAGGGAGTAAGAAATACTGGAAAAACCTTCACTAAAAGAAATGACAAGCATATGCTAAAGATAAATTGCTGCTGAATTCTTCACAAAGTGTTATGCAGTTTAACTTTATCAGTTTCACCGATAAATATAGCAGAAAAACAGCTGTTTGCCTAGAAAAAAAATGTAGTCAAACGTAGCGTTTCTTTGAAAATAATTCTGCATGAAATTGTCAAAGTTTTGAGATGCACATTTCATAAAAATTATATCACTTACATGCCACCCGAATCACAAGTATGCTGCTGAGTGCTTTGCAAGAAAGCTAATCATCTTCCAGTGTAGAGTTCTGTCCTCCTTCACAAATAATTGGGCATAAAACAGCAGATAGAGATCATTTAGAAATTATGAACATTTTTCATCTTGACCTGTTCTACTTCTCCATTAGTGATGAGAGTGTTATCAGAATGAATGTATTTGCCGATAATTGGAATTCTGCACTTCCCGCATCCCACTGAAGAGAAGATGAGATTGAGGACAGTGAAAGAGGGCCAGACCAGTTTCACGCGGGTTTGGCTCAGTGTGGTGAGAAAGATGTAGCTGCCCCAGACGCAGTGAGATGTAGAACAAGATTGTACGTTAGGACTCTGGGATCTCAGCATGTCTCGGTGCAGTGGTGGCATTTTCTCCTTCCTCCCATTTCTCAGCAGGGTGATGAGTCCTGTTGCCTTGCCTTGTTGTATTTTTTTTCCTTCAGTGGAATAGTTTATTAGATTGCGGGTGAGGTTTTGAGAAAAGAAAGCAATGGGGATCTTTATTTAAACAGTAAAGGGCAAGAAAGATGAATGCACTTGCTCCCATATGACAACCGCTAGCAGAATAAGCGAATCGGCTTGAATCTAATTCTAAATAATGCTGCGAATATGACTCAGCTGGTATGATTCAGTAGTGCGCTAGGTACAAAGAAACCTGCATTTTCCCTTTTTTGGCATTCTTCGATATATTCCTTTTTACATGTCCCCCTTTGCAACTCGAGGTACCAAATAAATAACGCAGAAGATAAGCAGCAGTACAAATTACTGTCCTTTTCCCACAGAGGAACAGTTTGCATTAACATTTTCAGCATTTACATGACAGGAAAATCATCACTTTTTAAAGAAATGTTCTGTGGCTTTTGACATTTTATTTAGTCTTTTAAACTACAGCTGAACAGGTATTTCCATTTACTAGGAACTGAAAGCATTTTATTGATTGATAAATCGATAGTCCCAATTGCGTACATTAAAAATTGCATTTGTGGTTATAATGTAATGGGAAATGTTTCAGATGTTAACAGAATTATCAGTAACACCCGGTAGAAGCCAGCCATTTCAAACATTTGTTGAAAGATTGCTTTCCTTTGGCTTTAAGACTATTTACTTGAGAGTGAGAGAAAGAGACTCTCTCTTTTTACATATCACGTACAGGTGTGTGTAACCATAGTATAAATATATTATATGTTCCCTGAAATATGTTCTTTGCTTCAGCACAGTAATTACTTAATAAATGAAATATTCTATTTTGGAAAAAACAAGCAAGATAAATATTCAACAGGATTTGCTACATAATCCTTGAAATTCTTCCAGAAATTTAATTTTAAGACTGCGATGCCTTTATTTAATATTCCCCCCCCCCCCCCACCAATGGCGAGGACCACCCCTTCTCTTTTAC